AACAAAACGGTACAAATTTACTGTCCAGGTTCTCTGCCAGGCTGGCCCTCATTACAGCAGCCGAAGCCGTATCCAGTGCAGTAACTGCACATGGTACAGATCATGCAGACATCGTGGGCCCACTTGTGGTCCCCGTCATCACAGATGTTGTCAGGGACCAGCCCCTCTTCGTCTTCCTCGTCACTGGAGCTTCCTCCTGCTCCTTCCTCTCCTCCTCCCTCTTCTCCCTCAACACCTATGTACATGTACATACGTTTTTATTAAAACAGTAACATCTGCAGTTCATTACTACAATAGTTCTTGAACAGGTCTCAAACATTTGAAGGATGAAAATGGCTAGGAAGATTCATATTGACACTTTGTAGCCACAATTCAAATGTTAGCGGTCAAATTTAAAACCAACCAGGGTTTCATTTAGACATTGACTCAACATGTGTAACGACTCAACTCCAAGCTGCATTTCCCAGTATCAAATACAGTGTGCATTAGGTTTTCGAGGGCACCTTTTTCCTTGGGGGGCTTGTAGTTTCTTCCACACTGTCCAAAAGAGTTGTTGCCAAAGGTGTAGACCACTCCGTGTTGTGTGAGGACAGCCGTGTGCGATCGACCCATGGCTACCTGGCTTGCCGGCATGCCCAGCAAATCTGTCACTACTCCTGCAGCGGAAAAGACAACTCAACCACACAATCACAAGGCGAAATTAAAAACTGTGTACTCTGGTAGCTATACCCACTCCCCAATCAATATGCAAATGGACAACTTAAGTTTGAGCAAGTAAATCTGTGGGCATGTGAAAAAGGGAAAGAGAGAGAAGTAAACTCCAGCAAAATAATAAGCAGTTCAGTTTAATTTTGCACTTCCATCGATTTCATATCAGCAACACTTACCAGTTGACTTATCCACCAGGTCGTCCTCCAGACTCCCAAACATGTAGAGTTTCCCGTCTCGTGTGACCATGCCTGTAGCGTGGCCGCCACAGGCACATCCACACACCTCCTGCTTGCTCAGCTTTGCCACTCGCTTTAGCTTGGCCCGGCTTTGACTGGCCTCTACCCCCAGCTGTGTGCAGTGTAATAATCCACATGACCCTGAATTTCTAGCTCCAAACTGGAGACAGCAGTTTCTCAACACGTTTGATTGCACATGCATTCAATCTGTCCTACACACACTCTGCATTAGCTTAATTATTATGCGGTAACTTTTATTCACTACTAGTGGAACCATCGAGCGCTCAATTTGCCTCCACAAATCACCTGCTTCCCCGGCCTCTCCCTTCTTGTTGACTCCTCCAAAGTACACCGTTCCCTTGTCGCTGACCACCAGACAGAACGTCCCTGCATTGTCACATGCACAGTGCTCCACCTATAAAAGAAAACATCCTCCTCTTTTAAACGCATTGAAATTTCTGAATAAGTGATTTAAGGTATGTCCACAGTGTCCTATTAGTCAGAGGTGTCTCTTATTCGGAGGTACGTATATACAACTAATGTACAAGTGCCTTTTATAGACAGATCTCATTTATTTGTTTCACCGTGTCCTTGTTGTAGTAACATATATACTGCCTTTAATTAAACTCCACTCGGAGGTCAGTTAGTAGCAGAGTTGAAAGAAAGCTAACAGACCTTGACGTTCTTGTCTGGTAGAGCTACCTCCTTCCACTCTCCTTTGGACACGTCCTTGGATGTGATACCAAACACAGCACCACTGCCAGTGTACAGCAACTGGACGTCAAGACAATACTTTACAGCAAGAAAACTTCCAGGTCTCAGACCTCTTACTAATGCTTCGCTAGCTAGCAAAATTTGTAGGCAACAACGCATTAGACGTGCAAATTACAAAAGTTATCCTGTGATCAGCAACAATGAATGCTCTCCCTCAATTTCCCACTATAGGCACTCCATAAATGTGCAATGGTGGGATCGATTAATGCACCTTTCCACTGGTGGTCTGAACAGCAACAGAGTTCCGCGAGGCCATCACTCGCACAACTTGATCACTTGTATCTTGATCTGTAAAGCAACAACAAAGAAAGAAACCATCAATTCTCAAAACATTTCAGGAGTCCATAGTAGTACTAGTCTCGTTGGTTAATAAAATAGACAAGAAAAAGACCCCGATAGATTTATCCCAGCTACATATGTATGTGTCTCACAGAGAGTGTGTATGGACTCCTGTGAGTCATACTTGGCCTTCCCCATCACCAGTACTGTCTTCTGGGAGAGCTGGAGAGCCTTCTCCTCCACCACAGGCATCGGAGACGAGAGCGTCGCAAACTTTCTCAACACACACCCTCCCTAACACACAGACATGAGAAATTTCTTAGGACTAAGGTGATTGGTATGGTACACACCTCTTTCTTCACTTTGATTTGGCCAATGCATTCCCCATCTGAGAACAGGCACTGAGAACCAAGGCAGTCAACTGAAAGACAAACAGTTGTATATGTAGTCAGTGGGGCTGGCTGCAGAGTGTACAGTATCACTACCATCAAGATCCAGTGATGTCTCTTCCTGGAGCGTGTCAGCGTTGATGACCAGAACACTGTCTTCTCCCTGACTCAGTGGATAGTAGAACAGCTTTCCCTGTGGGATAGATGTACACATGATCATGATTGTAATAAAGAAAGCAGAGGCATCCATCGACGTATGGTATATAGACGTACATGGTGCATATGTACATGATTGTAGTAAAGAGATATGAAAACACAGGTACCCATCGATCCATATGGCACATAATATACAAAACTGTGCTACACTAATGGAGAACTTTCAGGAATTCAAATTAAACAGACAACTTAGCCTATGACGTTTTGTTCCTCAAGTTTCCCACGATAAATAGGTTCATGTGTATGTATGCGTGGCAATACCTCAGCAAGGCCCAGCCAAGCCTTTTCTCCAGGTCTGAAAGGCTCCATCTTGTATACCAGTCCCTACTCATTGACATCATAATCATTCTCAAAGGTAACACAAAGTAACTCACCCTTTGTGTGTTTCCGTAGCCACTCCCGACCTTTGCTAGACCAAACGAACCGTGAATGTACAAAAACCGACCGTCGCAGGCCACAGCCGCCCCACCCCTCCCCCCTTCCTCCTCCCTTTCCCCTCCCTCTTCCAGAGGAACACTGATGGTCCACTCCTCGACGAAGGACTTGGCCGGAACTCCCTTCTCGAACCAATCAGCCACAGTCACACAGCCCAGTAGAACTGCCTTCACTGAGTCTTGTAGAGAGTAGAATATCTGGGGAATCTGTGGGCAGAGTCAGAGAGAGAAAGGTATAGTATGTAATCATATGAACACATGTCTTGTAGGTCTAGCACTCAATGTTCACAGTTCACGTAATGTATACTAAACAATTTACATCAAGCCTTGAACTTAAAAAAAAAAGGAGAAATACAGTATACATTAGAATAAACAACGCTATGCACATGCACAACACATAATCAACGGAAATGCCATTTCTTGTTTTGGCACCGATAAAGTAAAAAAGATTGACATTTACTTTTCCATAATCTCTGCTAATTTACAAATCACGGCAGTAGACACATTAGAAGACTAATGTACATAATGGCTCAATATAGACCTGGAGAGTGTTCTGAGTCAGGTGATGAGGTGCAGTGATGAGGGAGGAGACGGCAGTCAGCATCTTCCCCGTGTCTCCCAGAGCTACCACCAGACTCAGGAGACAGCCACATGCCACACTGGACAGGTCTGGTAGAAAGAAAAAGCATAAGAATAGCCCAGTTTATAGACACTTTAAAATGTGTTTGTAAGCTGCTTGCAGTTTACGGGTGTAAACTGTTTTAGACACTACAACATAAGGGCCTACATAAGTAGGTAAAACTTTTAAAAAATAGGGCACAGTGCATTTGATTTTCTGTTTTTCAGCAAGAGTTTTGTCCTTATGTTGTACTTCCACATTTGCTTCAAGAAGGAAATCTGAATACACCAAAAATCCACCTCATATCCACGAGTCAAAACTCCAGGAGTTCAGTGCCTACAAACTCGCTGATACACATACCACTTACCAGCAGCCAGTCTCGTTGTCAGGTGGAACAGGCTCCACCACCATTTTCATCAGTAGCTCAAACAGAGCGTCGCAGCAAAAGTCATTACGACAGGTTGATATACATACACAACATCATACTACTGTTTGCCCACTTTCATGTAATAGCTATAATCCTCATTTTAGCAAGAAATCTCAGTCCAACGAACAAACCATCTGAAACTCTAATCTTACCAACTACTATGTACAACTTTCATAGACCCATGCTATCTAGTGTGGAGTATTTGGGAGTACTACGTAGTAATACCTGTGGTTTCCTTGGGTTCGCTGCGTTAGACAGCAGGACTCTGGCCTTGCAGTATGTTGAGAAATTCATGAGAGCTCTGAGACAGAGAGACGGCATGGTCTGCCACACCTCCTGGATGATGGAGAACACTCGGGACACCTAGTCCTACCACCTGTTAGCAGGGTGAAGGAAGGCGGAAGAATGAGAGGAGCAAGGGAGAAAGGAGAGGGAAAAGGGAATGAATGAAAGGAAGGGAGAGAGATTTTGGCTATTCAGTGATCACACAGAGTGTCTTGTATGGTGTGTATATATTCAGTGTACTAGGTGCAGATTCAATACACAGGTCCAGAATGATGGGACAAAAGGGAAAGTGAAAAAATCTCAGTACTGTACATAACAAAGCACTATACTACTATGGGTAATTTAGATGACACATGTAACACGAGAGAAAGAAATGCCCTCTTGCTCGCAAAGAAAGAGCTACTTAACTCCATGTATGGAGCTGAGTGCGACATGAGAATTCAGGCACAAAGCAGTGTGGCCCTCCTAAACAGAACACACAGTTTACACTACCACTGGCATTTGCTCCTTCATCTTTCTTGGTCACCTCCTCCTGTCCCACTCTCCGCCTCCCTCCGTCCTCCGACCAAAGACCCACAGGGAGACCAAGTCGACGAGTTGACGTATCTCACACAGCTGGCTCTGGAGGCACTCCAAAATGGCGACGTGAGCGAGAACACGCGAGAAGGAGGATTCGGCTACGGAGGCGTGGAAACGGCAATGAGAGGTTCGCGCCAGTTCACTCGCACTACGGTGCTTCTCTCGCTCTGTCTCTCGCGTTTCTGGAGAAGCAGCGGAAATAAAGATCTGGACGGATATGCATCGTACACATGTAATATGCCAAATACACAAACACATTATATGTAGCTACACAACAAACTCTATGTATCCCTGTGGTACCTTCTCTTCTCTTTCGCACGTCTTTCTTGCTCCGAGCCGGAGACTTCTTCTCTGTTGCTCAGTTTTTTCTCAGACCTGCAAAAGTAGAGAATGTGAATGTGAGGTTCACGAGAGCTATAGAGAAACGGTTACGTAGATAGAGCAGCGGCTCACCTCGTCTTGACTCCAACACAGGTCCTTCATGCGCACCACTCGCGTAAGGCACACCCAGCCCCGGGAGCGGCACAGCAGGACCGAGCCCTGCTCTCTGCTGAGCACGGCCGCCATGCTTTGTTGTCGCCGGCGCCAACGCCCCTTCGATCACAGTAGCCAGATGCACGAGGCTCGTGCGTCCTTCTGCAATCACGCGTACTACAGACGGGGCGGCGCGTCGACTTCTGCACAGTTTGACTGCAAGTTGAACGCTAGTTGCCAGGACAACTATACAGCACGGTCACACCAAAGGCAGCGGACGAGAGCGAGAGACCAGATACGAGATTCTTCGCTCAGCTGTAGCTCCCGTACCACATTGTAACCCGTTGCGGTTTGGAACTGAACTAAAACTCCATCACTCGGACCAAACACCGTGGCGTAGATTGTTGGCCTTCTTTCCTACTACCCAACGAAAATGGCGACTCCTTCGATTACAAAGAGCAGATAAAGGACAAGGAGCCACAACCCAAAAGTGTGAGGCACCAGCTAAAGAAAGCACAAAAGCCAGCCGGACGAAAGGAAAGCATTCACCTCGCGCTACAACACACCCCGGCATACTCCCGCATCACTCCAGACGTATCACGTTGGGAAGTCACAGTGATGCAGTGCACTGGCTTGAGGAGACGTCTTTAGAGATGTCACAGGGTGATCTTTATGCATTGTGATCGGAAACCAGGTAATACTAGACAGTTATATAGGACCATGGCAATAATGTCTCTAGATTGTGAGTGTCACCCTTTAAAAATGCCTACTATGTGTCGGGTACGATCAAGGGAGGAAGTGGCAAAGCTGCTTGAACTAACAAGGGAAACTGTGTGGACGATGGGAAGAGAGCAGTGGCCCAGTTCCGTGCTCAACTGTCCCCAACGTATGTGCGTCCTTTAACACGTGCCTGACCACAGTTGTATTATCGGTATGGTATTGCTACAAAACCCCTTCACAAAAAGCACAGTGGAATATGGTGCGGCTGGACGCCTGCCACACTTAGAACTTGAAGAAGAAAGAAGAACGGAAACTTTTGTAAGAAGTTATTGTTTGCAAAAGCCTTTCTGTCGCGAAAGTTTATAGTATCGGTACACGCCCGCCCGTACCGACATTTAAGCGTTCAAAATGTGACTGTGGGTGGCATGCAGGGGACAAGGGACTTCACGACCATTCCCAGATGGCCATCAGACGAGAAGGTTTTCGCGTCTAACCTCGTTGTTTCAAGAGGACGGGAGACGTGGATATCAGTACCCCAGCCTTTGAGCGTGCAAGGTACACGTCCCACATCAAGGTTTTGCAGCCAAAACTTTAACCCAGGAAAGGAAAGATAGGTGATGCAACAAAAGCCCTAACATACCAATATTTTCGCAAACGTCGGTATCATCGAAAGTTGCCTCACTATAAAGATTTCGGCAAATAAGATTGCCAATTGTCAATGGTGGTATAATTACATAGGCATTAATTGTTGTTTACCCATGGTACCTGCCTACACAGGAGGGAACTTGCTAGGAAAGTTGGAGAACAGGACCAGGAGTTGATTCACGATCATGCAGACCAGGCTGACGGGGAGCTGCTGCTCTCAGATACGATCGTACTGTATCCCTCGATCCCTTCATAACCTACGACAGCCACTCTTTTAAGGTGACTAATAGAGCCCCCCTTTGGAACCTCATGCACGTACTACTCTTATGTAGCTCATTTATGTGGTGTCACATCTAAGAGTTTTATGTTATACCCCTGTAAGTGTATTAAACATATGGACATATTTCTCTAGCTGTAGTAATTCAAAGTTTGCTACACGGTGTTGAGATTCTTCGACGGCTTGTGCCGGTGGAACTAGGAGTGCCGGCTTGACCGCCATGTGGCCCCCATGAATACAATATGAACCGACTAATGAAGACGCTACACACACCTTGAACGGGCCTTTGTTTCCCTCTCTCGTTTGTACAGGATTAGGAGGGACCAAGCAACGAGCGATGCACACCCTCTACGGTCAGCTACAGATTCAGTCTCTACACCCAGTTCGCCCTCCGCTGTGCTCCGAGTTCACTGTCAGCATTGCCTGGTCCGAAGTAGTGTTGGACACCTAGCCAGGCGGCATTTCTCTGATTTTTGTGGTGATTGAATTTACCCTGATGTCTTTCCTTCCCCCCTAACCACAGTTCTCTACATTCATATTTAAACGGGACCACTTGTGCTAGTTCCACTATAATATAACATATATAATTTAAAATTTTTACTTGAACACTCGGAATGGCAGTCACCTTCTGTCCGGTTGGCCACCTATGTTTGAGCGACCAATTCTAGACATATATACTGCTGATTGCGCCCTACATCTCCGACACCGTTTCAACAATGAATTGGGGTGTGTCGCT